GCTATTTTTTTTCCCCAACGTAAGTATCTAAGCTCCAAGTCCTTCTAAAGCTGTCCAAGGCTCTGAAGATGCATTGTTAAGGAAAACCTATGCCAGATAGCCATACACTCAAGCTTGCTATACTGTCTCTGGAATAACTAGGAAGTAGTATGTGGTCCACTCAAAGTACTGCGTCACAAATGAGTGACAGTGCTCATTAAATTGCCCAGAGTACCGTAGATGTTGCTACACCACTTCTATTTTAGAAGCCATCCTAATATAAGCAGCTTGAGGGCACTACATCTAGACAGCAGCATTAACGTGGATACATGGCCCAAGTGTAATCTACAGCTGAACCACAGAAGTCTAGGCTTGTAAATTTACTGGCTCAGTGCAAAAAGACAGGAGTCAATCTATAAGACTGCTTGGTAACAGCCCTGTTGCGTGCAAGATTGGCTCTGTGACCAACCAGCATGCCAAACAGCAATAAGCTTAAGCTTGCAACTACTGTATTTCACAATAGGGGGACAGTGTGCAAAAGTTAAGCTGTCTTTTACTAGATCGAAGTTCCGCTCAAAATGTTGCAAGAATCAGCCTCTCAAGAAGTAGCTCAGAGCTTGTCTCCCAAAGTCAAGTATCATCTTCCTACTAACTTCAGATGACAATCAGGTAATACCTTAAAATAGTGGCACTCAAAACTATTGCATGTTAAAATATACACACAGGAACAGCCAGATGCAATATCTTCCTTGTAGGAAATGAAACCAATGGGTTAGAGATTTTGTCACTAACCCTCCAAGTTTCAGTGCTCCCTCCATTTCCTGTGGAGCCTCCCATTCATACAATGACTTGAGCCAGACTTGAACCACTAGAACTTATACTACTAGCCAGTTGAGCCATTTAGGCCCCTTCAAAGTTGTAGCCTTCCTGGCTAAGAGAAAGCCTAGAGAAACAAGACAGAGTTTTCAGTCTCTAAAAGATGTGAACTGGACATGTTGTTAGCTAACATTTCAGAAAGTTTTGGTGTGGACAAAGCAAGTTTTGATTTAATGGTCACCTGAAGCAGCTAGCATGTGAGAATACAAACTTAAATCCCTAGTGTACATAGGATGTATGGCCAACTCGTCTTAAAACCCATCTTTTATTTTAGTCCAGACATGCACAGAAGCATTGCATAACAATCAAACTGAAATCACATGCTACTCGATAGGTAATCCTCCCCCCACCAAACAGAAAGAAAGAACTTGCAGTAATTTCTATCAAGAATTATAGGAAGCTTAACAGCTGAAACAAGCTTTTCAAGAACACACCACACCATAGCTCCTCAATTGAGAATGGGAATTGCAGAACACTTAAAATCTGGAGGCTTCATTCAGTCCAGCCTTGAAGAAGCTATGCCAAAGGAGATTGACTAAGACATTTTGAACTGTAGGAGAACACCAAGACACTTCAATTTTCTTCAGCCCCGAGACTAATGGTCTCCAAAGAGGGGTGCACAAGACCATCCATTGGGGTGTGGGAAGAAAATATTAGAACTTCTATTTATATAGATAGGGATGCGCAATCAAAAAAGTTTGGAGACCACTGCCCTAGACACATCTAGGAAACCAAAGCAAGGTAGCATTATGCTACAGTGTTCAGGCAGCGCAGAAGCAAAGCCACTCTCCTATATACCAGCTGGTTACCAGCTAGTCCCGAGCACGTGCAGCCACAAGCCTCCCTGCAGGTTCTCAGAATCACTCTTGTAGCTCGACTCTACATTGTCAGGACTCAGGGAAAAGCCCGAGTTTCACCACGGCTCACCTCTGATAGACTCATCTACCATGTACAAGGGCAGGGGTTCATCATCTTCTTCCTCATAGTCCTCATCCTCATACTCCACTCCCAGAGACATCTCATGCCCAGGGCTGCTGCGGCTCCCTGCTAGCGGGGCACTCGTCACACCGGGTCCCGAGCTGGCGACATGCTGGCACGCTGCAGGGCAGAAGCCAGGAGAGAAACACAAAAGCTGTAGTCACCTGCATGGGGCAGGATGCCATTCTCCCCATTCAGCGCCCGGAGCCAGCCGAGGCGTGGACCTTCGCGGCAGCTCTCGCACATCCTCGCCAGTGACTCACGGGCAAGGCAGCTCTGGGCTCCCGGGCCACAGCCCAGGCGCGGACAGGGCACGGGGCCTCCCCCTGCGCAGCCCCGGCCCGGAGAGAGCTTTGGCCCGAGCCGCTGCACACCCCGCTCACCTGAGCGCCCGGCCAGCGCGCACAGCAGCAGCAACAGGAGGAGAAGGCGCAGGAGCGGCGGCGGCAGCGCGGGGCGCATCGGGGCGGGCGAGACAGGCCAAGGCTGGCGGCGTCCTCACCGCTCGCTCTCTCACTCCGCGGGGCGTGAGGCGCTGGCCGCGCCCGCCCTTTATAGGAGCGGCGGCGGCGACGTAGCGCTGCGTCAGCAGGTGGGGGCGGAGCCGGGCCGCACCTGCCCCCACGCCCGGGAATGCATGCCCCGGGGCTGAGGGAGCAGCTCACATCCCCCCCCCCCCCC